TAACCAATTTTCTTTTATAATTCTGTTCTGCTTATTTACTCTTAGCTTTTTCTTTATATTACTAAACCATTTTGCTTGTTTGCCTTTATATGATTGTTCATGTATTAGCTTAAGCTGTTGCCATAATAACATTTGATTATCTAACTTGCTAATTAATTGTTCTATATATATTAATTTAAGTTTTCTTAATGCTAATGTTACTTTTTTTATAAAACTAGCACTTAGCATATCAGCAATCTTATTTTTTTTTTATTTAAATCTGAATTTTGGTTGCTAAAATTTAATGTAACTTGTAGTTCTTTTGCCTTCAGTATTGTATAACATGCTAAGTTGACTTTCCAAATTCTATTACATATCTTAAAGAAAGTATTATGTCAATAATTTTTTGTTGCATCAATTAGTAGTAGTCCTTGCTTTATTTGTATTCTTGTGACTAATTTCTCTATTCCACTTGTATTGAGTCATGTATGAAGATTTATAATTTGCTTAATAGTAAGTTGGTCTTGCAATGAATTGCAGTTTCCTAAGTTTCTATGCAAAATTATACTATTATTTGTTGTTTTTGCTATTTCTAGCTTGTTCTTTGCTACTCTTAATAAAGAACTTTGTATTTTATTGACTACTGCTTTTATTAATTTAGTTGTTTGCAATATATATAGTAGTTTTAGTATAATGTACATATTGTTTATATATAAAACTTGTGCTATTGTCATTTTCTTAGTATCTAAGCTTTTTATTATTGATCACATTGTTTCTTATGCTCTTGATCTAATTAGGAAATCTTTCAGTTTGCAATTTAGCCAAACATCCAAAAATCTAGTTATCTTATTAGCATTCTCTTCTCATATTTGCTCACCTTCTATATTTATCTTTTTGTTATTATTTTTTCTTTTGAATTTATAATAATTAATTTTGATTTTTTTTTATTAATTTGTATATTATTTATTTTAAAAAAATCTTCTGCAATTTTAATCATTTGCTGCATTTGCCTTTTGCTATTCACAATTCATATTGTGTTATCTGCAAATGCTATTACTGATTGTTTTTATTCTGTTTTTCTGAAGCAGCCTTGATTATAATTATATAGGACTGATACCAATAATATATAACCTATATTGAAATCTTCTTGGACTCTTTCTAAAAGTAGGTTATAAAAAATTCTTTATATTAATAATGATAAAACTTCACTTTGTTCTATTTTATTATTAATTTTAATTGCATTTGTTGTATTTCAATGTGTAATAATCTTAGTTCGTCTTTTGTAGAACAAATTTAATATAAATATAATTGTAATTTTTTGGAATTTTGATTTTTCTCATTGCTAATTTCAGTACTTTTAGTGATACTGAATCAAATGCCTTTTTCATATCTTGTAGTATTAGCTATAACTCTTTGTTATTATCTTTTGTATCTTCTATTATAGTATTAATAATATGAACTGACTTTTCTGTTAAATTGTCTAACAGGCTTGCAAAGTTAGGTTCTTTTAATATATTTCTTTTACAAAATACCTGTATTAATCTTTTGGTAAGAATCTTGGTTGTGCACTTTTTGAATATTTCCAATAGTGTGATAAGTCTTATATTACTTAAGTTGTAATATCATTTTTTATTTTTTGGTATTGAATATATTTGTAAAATCTTTTACTTTTTTGATATGATGCCTGCCTTAACACATATTTCTGCAAAATTTCTTGTGTTTGCTTGTTAGCTATTTGAATTAACTTATATATAATTTCTGTTATGCCTGATGCTATGTTTTTTTAGATCTGTTAGCATTTTTGATCATTTTTCATTTGTAATATTCTGATTTAATTCATTATATCAGTTTGCATTTATTGTATTCTTGGGTTTATAGATCTTTTTCTACTCTTTTTCTAACATCTCTTGATTAAATAGTCTTGCTCTTAGTTAATTCTAAAAATAGTTTTTTTGCTTTTTCCAAGATCTCTGATGGTTCTGTAAGCAATTTTCTTTGACTATTTATTTCTTCTATTAGTTTGTCTATTTGTATTTTTTGCTAAGTTTGTTGAGCAGGCTTCTTAACATTTTTTCTTAATTATTTCTGATTATTTGACATCTTTTTTCTGTAAAGTCTTCAATTTTCTTTTATTGTAAAGCCTTGATTTTACTTGATCTTCTTGTATATAATATTTTTTACTATTCTTTTAAATCTTTTATTAATTCTTGTGACCATTCATTCTGAGTTGTATCTATATATGTTTTTTGTTGATAGTTAATGTAATGCAGTTCTTCATTCAGTTCTTTAATATTATCTTTTATTAATTCAACTTTAATATTAATTTTTCTTATACTGATCCACCTTTCTAGCTGAATTAGAACCTTTGATAAGTTTGCTTCTTTTGATTTTTTTTCTTGTTTTCTGATATATTAAATATTCTTTTTTTTGGCAATTTCTTTTTTGCTGCTATTTGAATTCCATTGCATATAATATTCTATCATCTATCTAATCTATTTTGTAGAGCCTTTTCTGTGTTTTTTTAATTTCTTAAGCTTTGTAATACCATTTGTAATTCTTGTAATTAAATTTTTTTTCTTAGCTGTAAATTTAGTTCTACTCTATAATTTTCTATATCCTCTTTGGTTGCTTTATCTTATAGAAAGATTATCCTTAGCTGTTTTGTTTTTTTGATTTCAGCTACACTATATAGTTCAATTAAATGTTATAAATTGATTTGTACTATTACTAAACTGTAATTACTATTTGTGCATACATTTATCTCTTGCATTTCTGCAACAAATAGTCCATCTGCTAGTTCTTTTGTAATCCAAATTTGGTCAATTCTTGATTCTGAACCTTTATCTGATCATAAAAACTCTTTTTTTTCTGGATTAACCAATCTGTAAGCATCTTTAAAGTCTTGTTTTGTTAGCCATTTGAGTAATAAAACTTGCTTAACTGTTTTTGTTTTTGGGCTTTCTAATCAATCTAATTTTAAATCAATTACACTGTTAAAGTCTCTTATTACAATTATTTGTGTTTTTTTGTTGGCATTTAATATATCTTTCAATTATTATTTTTTGTATTTTTTTTTTCTTCTTTGTTGTTTGATGGCATGTAGAGCATTATAACTATTATTTCAGTTTGTTTAAATATAAAATTGGCTATAATTATATATTTGTTTATTCTATCTATCTCTTCTAAATGTTTTTCTCATTGTTTGTTTATAAGTATGCCTATATCTAATTTCTTCTTCTTATTTGGATTTGTGTTTGACCAAAAACCTCTATAATCACTCTAATCACTTAATATAAAAAATCCTTCTTTGCTTGAGATATTTGTTTCTGCTATGTCAATAATATTTATTTTGTTGTTAATTAATTATTTTTGTAGCATCTTTATTTTTTGATTGTTTTTTTTTGAGTTTGTTGATATTGTTATTGCTATGTTTAAATTAATTTTGTCCTTTGTATAGATTTTTATTATCAGCATTTGCTTCTCTATTTTATTTTGTTAGCTGATTGTTTTGTTTATATCTTTAGCTTTTTTTTATTGTCCTCTTTCAGTTTTTTTACTATTTCTAATAGATATTTTCTCTTCAACTTTTAAATTACTACTTAGCTAGTATAGATGCTGTCTAGTATTTAGTTCTGAACTAATACTTAATTCTTGTGAAAAAGGTCTTATTTCTATACTCTGGCTCTTTGATTCAACTGTAATGCCTTTCAGAAGCAATTTATTTATTTTTTTACTTATATTTGCATCATTGCATATATGATATGTTTCTAGTCTATCTAGTCTTAATAATATTTTTTGCAATAAGTCTTGCATTTGGTCTAAGATATTATTCTTTTTTGTTTAATTAGATTGATGCTAAAAATTATTATTTTCTTTCATCTTTTTTGTTTTCTTAATGCTTTTATCATTTTTAGCTTTTTCCTTATTTATACAAACATCAGACTCTTTTATGTTTTTATACTTTTGTTTGTTCTCTTTGGATTGCTTTATTTCTACTCTTACCTCATCTTAAAAGACCTGATAGTTGTTGTATTTTATTGGCTTTGATTTTGTTATATTCATTCTCTGATTACTATTTCTGTTAGATAGTATATATACTGACTTTGCTCTTTTGATTCTTAAATAGCATAAAAGTAACACTTCTGATATATTTACTAAAATATCTCTTAATTTTGTTGTAAATAGACTTTGGCAGTCATATTGATTATAGTTCTTGTTATCTTTAGTTATTCTTGCTAATTTGTGAGTTCTGATTGATAATGATAATGAAATGTTCTCTTTTGCACAATGGTCTATTTTAATCACTATAAGAGCTTTGAACTTAAATCGTTTAATTTGAATCACTTGTGACTTCTTATACTTTTGCATATATGTTTTATTTCCTCTGAATTAATGTTTGCTAGCAAATCCCAAATTGTACAGTAGTTATATTAGTCTATATTATTTTCAAATGCATCTGATTCTTTTATTTCATTTACTTTTTTTGAGCTTGATGGCTTTATATATTCTTTTTTTTTCTTTTTTTTTATTTTTGGCTTATTGTTCTGAACTTTTTTTCTGTTTATTGTTTTCTTTTGGAATAAGTTTAAGTCAGTTATCTTCTTTTTCTTTGATTCTATCCATTGCTTGATCTTTACTGTATTCATAATCAAAATTAATCTCAATTCAGTTATTACTTTTTTTGAAAACTTTCTTTAATTAGTCTATAAAAAAAAAGATCTATATACATTCTTTCCAGATCACATGCATTTGAAAGCTAAGTGAAACTAAACAGGAAAATAAACTACAACAACAAGACAAACAAACTTAAAAAAGGTTTCAAAGCAAAAGCACTTGCTCTTGTTACAAGAAAAAGATCTTTTAAAGTTTTTAATAGTACAAAAAGCTTAGGCACTATAGTAAAAAAATAAAAAACAACAACAAATATTAACAAGAAAAACATCAAAAACATGAAGTCTTTACAAGTAGAAAGCAATAACTCAGATTTACTAAAACATATCAATAAAAGCAATCTTAGCTAGGATGAACAAGTAGCTCAAGAAGCTAAAGAACTCAAGGAAATAACAAATACCCATAAGAAAGTACTTAAAAAAAATAGAACATATATAACAAAAAAAAAAATCTCATTTGTAGAAAAAAATGACAACAATATAGTAACATTTTTAGAATAAGACAACAACACTATTACATATAATAAAGAGGTTATTGAAATCAATATACATAATAAAGAGATCTTTGAAATTGGTACATGTAATGAAGATAATATCAAAACAACAACATATGACAAAAAGGTTTTTAAAATTAGTCTAGGTAACAAAGACAACATAGAAACAACAACCTAAAATGAGCTAATAAATGAACAAGGGAACTCTATTTTGAAAAAGAATACAACTTCTAGCTCTAGTGAAATAACTGAACCATTAACAAAAAAAATGATCAAGCCTCTTTTTTAAACTTAAAAGAAGCCAGTTAACTTACTCATCTTTTTCTCCTAGGAATACAATTAAATCAAAAAATAAAAATGTCCTCATTATAGATATACAAAGCCTACAATGCTCTTTAAACAAAATTATATCATCTTTATTCAAAATTGCTAAACATGACATCATTGTAGCTAAACAACATCTTACTAAAGAAACACAATTACATTTAGAAATAATCTTTATAGATAAATAAAAACTAAAGAGCTATGCAACAAAAAGTATTAAAATTCTTAACAAAACATATTTTGAATATGTTCTAATAGATATAAGAAAATCATTTTTACTAGTTAAAACCAAAAATGTCACTAAACAACAAAGAAGAACTGTTAAACTCAATCAAATATGCTTTTGAGAATATAGATAAAATAGCATCAATTAAACTCCTATTAATTGAAGATACACCCATCAGGAAAAAAAATAGAGAGCTATATATTGATTGGTAACTGAAGGATATATAATGATATAAATCACCCCTGCTGATTTATAATGATTGTAATACTAATCGATAGATAACCATAAGCTGATTATAATCGATATATAACCAAAGTGATTATAATCGATATATAACCTAAATGATTAGAATCATGTTAGGTAATATATCGATTATAATCGCTTCAGTTATATATCGATTATAATCGGCTTATGGTTATCTATTGATTATAATCGTTATGTACTGCTATACTCATAATATTAAATTGATATACACAAATCATTATATTAAATATTACAGCGATTCATTTTTATATTTATCAACTTAAAGCAAATAAAATTTATAAATTTAAATTGAATACAATTTATTTTATACATATGAGATACATTTTGCATGCAATACATTAAAAATTACAAAAAAAAACAACGCCACTAATAGATCCCAAACAATTCATCCTATGCATCCTGCGAAAGAATTAAAGAATTACTTAGAGACAGGGGAGTTGTATTGAGGTCAAGTTCAGTATTGGAATTGGCTATACTGATTGTATTTGTGTTGATTGTTTAGCTTCTTGAGAGCCTAAAGCAAGCTCATTATTAATGATTGTGTTAGCCGATTCTTAATTAGGATTGCCATTATCAAAGTTATTCTAGTATAATAAAGGTTAATATTCATTTTGTAGTTACAATCGATATGTTACAAATACTTACCAAATAGCACACTATGCGACACTTAATTCAGCTTTCACTACAGATAATATTTTTCGATTAGGAATTCAATATAATGTCACACACAGCTAGTGTGAAGGCACAATAATAGTTTGTGAAAGTAGGGGCAGCAGCCGTGCTGAATGCAGTTCTTGCAATAATTGCAATCCAAAAAATGCCTTTATCATCTTGCTCATAGAGCATACAATAGCAATTGTACACTTCTTGGCTTTGCTTCCACCTTACTATATCCTTAGCACTAGTATTGCTTCTAAGGCGAGGAAGCCTTTCATGACCAAATACACTCCAAATTGCTAAACATACGTTCTGCAATGCTAAACCATGCAGGTTCTTCATTTTTTGTAAGAGCTATTGAAAATTGAACACCATAAAAAATGCTTAGACCTATTGAAAACGATTGATAATGATATAAAACGATATACACAGATGTCAAATATTATTGCTTACCTGAGAACACCACACACCATGGAACTGGTTTGCAAAATCATTTGCACTTAAGTTCGCCATGAATTCAGAGAACTTTTCATTCAAATAGTCCTTGAGAGACTCCTTTATTTCATCTTGGGTGGGATATATTACATGTGGGAAAAGGCGTTTGACAATGCTAATATATACTTCCTGCGAAAATGTAAAAACAAAAGCGCTCAGAATATGCCAAAAAAAAAACGCTCAGAATATACCAAAAATAAAGCGCTTAAAATATGCCCTTGCTTTCTATAATACTTACATCTCACACTTTGGGCAAAAGATTCTTGCCTTAAATGCCTTGAGTGCCTTGAACGTTTCTGTGCCACATTTCATTCCTTAGATCTTGAAAATCGTTGCTTAACTGCCTGATAAGGAGGTATATTTGGCGGTTTTGAGCGAAGAGACGTTCATGGTCCTCAGCTTCACGATGACGATGACTTGAACGAGCTCAAAAAGGTAACAAAAAAAAGTTTTAAAAAAAAAAAAAAAAGTTTCAAAAAAAAAAAGTTTAAAAAAAAAAAAAAAATTAGATCAAAAGATCGACATTCAAAAATCAAAAAAAAAAAACTTTTATACCATCATGATTATGTGAATGATTTTGATTGGAAGATCGACGATCAGGCGATGCCAATTTTTCACGTGTTTGCTGTGACTGCAGCGATGATGATCATGATGCATGATGTGAGATAGGTTGAGAAGATGATGGTTGCCTAGAATAAGTTTGCTGAACAGATTGTCTAAAAGGTGATGGTTGCCTAGAGGAAGTTTGTTGGGTGGATTGTCTGGATTGTCTGGATTGCCTTGATTGGGTTGAAAAAGATGACTGACGTACTTCTATCACTCATTACGGAAAAAGTATTATGTGCACTTCTTATAGATCTAGTGGATTTGTCAGAATCAGAGTCATTGTTATAAGATGGTTGAGATGATTGATGAGGACCAGCGATATTATTTGAATTATAATAAGGGCGGGTTGTATTGGTAGGGACAGCCAAATAAGAAGAGGGTGGGTTGTTATTAGAGTTATTTTCCATTTTCAAAATTTTTAAAAAGTTACTTTTCAAATGCTAAAGCGATTAGACTTATATATCTAAAAAAAAAAGCTTTAAACAATTAGTAATAAAAATAATCTCTAATAATGTTA